CCAAACTATTTTGATGGAAAAGAAGTTTGTGACTTTTATTACATTGACATGCATTACAATGAAAAGAGAAATCATTAGCTACATGAAGATTAAATGACGTAACAAGGGACTTGAGAATGGGTAATGATGGATTCCCTAAACGATGATGCTAGTCGATGGCAGAAGCTTTAATACTGGAGTAGGCGAAGATAGAGGATGATGATGGCAACTCATAGATGCCATTCGTAGTTGGATGTGTCCCCGTGAGGCGATCCTTCATAGTAAAGGAATCAAAGGAGAACTCAATTAGAATATTGTTTTCAAAACAAAATTTAGAAATGAAAATGAAATTGTGTTTCATATTAGAAACATACAATACATTAGAGAGGGAGATATATTTAGAAGGAGTAGAGATAGAGGTGGAACTAGTATGAGTAATGGATAGACCAAATCCATCTCCAATGATAATTTCCTCAATGCCATCATATGGTTGATGAAGAGAAATAGTGGAAAGATCTTGTGTAACATGATAAGAAGCACCTGAATCAAGAATCCAAGGGTGAGAAGATGTGATGGTGAAGCATGAGCAACATGAGCCTGTGGAGAGTTAGAGGAAAAAGCAGGGGGTGATGGTGGGCAAATGTCATGATGTTTGGTTAGAAAGATCAGGCATTTTTGAAGGGAATGTCCTCTAGTGTGACACCATTGGAATTTTTCTAGAAATGGTTTGGATCTAGTTTGGTTGGTACATTGAAATGGTTTGTTATGTTTGAAGTGGTTGTTGGATGTGTAGGTTGGTTGATGGAAGGAAGGTCGAGTAGTTGTTGCATGAGCAGTAGCGAGCATGAATCCTAGGATGGATTGAGATTTAAGAACCGACTCTCTTTGAATTAGTTTCTCAATAAGATTGGGAAATAAATGGGATCGTCCCGAGCATTAACAACATCAACAATGCCTTGGTAAGAAGAATCAAGGCTTTCAAGAACCTTATCAGTGATATCTTCATATTTGACCGGGTGACCGAGGAGGGCCAATTGATTTGTACACACCTTGATAGCTTCATAAACTCCACTATGGTTTGAGGGCCTTTGGCGATGCTCTTAAATTGAGCCTTGAGTTGTCTTATATGACCACGAGAAGTACTAGCAAATGTGTGAGATAAAGTATCTCACAGTTCTTTGGAGGTCTTGGTGAGAGACATCAATGGAACAATGGTTTTCTTAAAGGTGCCAATGAGAGTAACATAAATGAGACGATCTTGACGCATCCAGGTTAGATTGTCTGGATTTGAAGTTTCGGTGGTGATAGTAGAAGGACAAGGAAAAGAACCATCAAGATACTTGAACAAATCTTAGCCAACGAGTGTGGCTTCGATCTGTAGTTTCCAGGAGAGGTAATTTATGGAGTTAAGTTTGATAATATTAGGGAGAGAAACAACAACCAGAAGTGAACTAGGTTCTAAATCATTTAGAATAGTTTGTGTAGCAACCATTTTAGGGATGAAAGGAGGCAGGAAATGGTATGGGTCTGGTGAGATGGAATAAATCAGAGAATAGGAACCAAAAATTCTTGCTCTGATACCATATAGAGAATTGGAGAAAAGATAATCTTTGCTATACATTGCATAAGCTTATATAGGTACAATATATCAGCTACAAAATCAAAAGGGCTAGAGTTTAGGGATTACAATTACAATGATTTGGGAGTTACAATCTTGATGGGAGTTACAAAATATAATGGAAGCTAATTAATAGCTAACCATGTTTATCCTTGACAACTTGCACAAAAGTACATACCCCATGCCTTAATCTGACAATGGTAAGTAGGATCTACTTTATTGTCTCCAATCGTGCTCACCAACTCTTTGAGGCAACTGTTCATATACGACTAAAAGACTGCATTACCTGATGAACAAGGACATGCATTCCAATCCTCTATTGACACGTGGATTGTACCTTCCGATGTGCATTAAATGCATAGAGTATATATAGCTGAGAAGACTCTCCTTCTGAGCAAGTTTTCTTCTAAATTTCTCTCTTATCTTTATCTGTGCAAGGAAAGTCTTTGTGATTTCTTTCTTGATCTATAGAAAATCTTTGTGTTTTAAGATCACAATTTAGATTATTTAGACTAGGATCTTTTTTTTCTTATTCCGCAACAATCTGTAGATTCTTGTGTTGATTTTCTCTATAATCATTAAAAGAATTTAAAAAGTGAAAAAGTTGTATTTGTATTCAACCCCATTCTACAAAGTGTTTGAGACTTGTTTAAATCCTTTGGAACCAACACATCTCTTGTATTCATCCTCTCACTAACACATTCTAAAGTATGCCTTATGTATCCTATATCTAAATTTACCAAGCTGCCATTTTCCTTCGGTGAATCTTATGCCTCAGAACCATTTGAATTGTTGCACATCGATGTTTGGGGACCCTACAAATTGTGTTACAATGAAAATACAGATATTTTCTCACGACTGTTGTTGATCACAAAATAAACACATGGGTGTACTTGATGCAATTCAAATCCGATTCATTGACCAATATGGAACCTTTCTGAACTATATAAAGAAACTCTTCAACAAGCTCATAAAATTAATATTATCAGACAATATATTGGAATTTGATGATATCAGTTGCAAGAAATTCTTTGCTCAGAATGACATTCTACATCAAACGTCATGTGTCCACAGACCATGAAAAAATGCAAGGGCAGAGAGAAAGCATACACATTCTCGAAATTTAGAGAGCATTAAGGTTTCAAGTTGGTCTTCCTCTTCTTTCATGGGGTTGATTGTGTGATAGTCCCTGTTGACATCATAAATATACTTCCTACTCATGTTCTGTAGAACAAAACTCCCTATGAAGTTCTCTTTTGGTCCCCACCTACCTATCATCATCTCAAGGTATTTTTCCTAGAAGATCTAATCGACCTCATGAACCTCCAGGTTGGATGAAGGATTTTGGCACTGATCCAACCACATCTTCCATGTCAAATATGGCATCACCAAGACTATTGAACCTGAATTTCATTGTTTTCTTTCCACCATCACCTTTATCGTTGATCCTACATCTTTCAATATCATTTTCCAACGTGCTCATTGGCTACAATCAGTGAATATTGAGCTTGATGCTTGGAACTCAATGATACATAGGTTGTCACTACGCTTCTTGTAGGTAAGCATACCAATGGTTTCAAATGATAGTATAAAACCAAATACAACCCATATGATACTATAGAGAGGCACAAATCCCGGTTGGTAATTCTTGGTTGCCACCAAAAGTACAATGAAGATATGACGAGACTTTTGCACCTGTAGCAAAAATAACCATTGTTCAAACTCTGTTGGTTGTGGCAGTTACGGAAGCTTGGGACACCATCCAAATGGATGTGACCTAAGGAGATCTTTTTGAAGATGTGTATATGAAACTCCCTTTGGTGTATGCATATCTGAGCTGCAGATTTGAACAAACAGCACACTCCTCACTTCTACCTAAATCCAACCCTACTTCTGTATGCAAGCTGAATAAATCCTTTTATGGGCTCAAACAAGCTGTCAACTACTCTTCTATAACTTGGATATTTTGAGTCCAAGTCTGACTATATCGTGTTTGTTCACCATACTTGTGACACTATTACTATGGTCCTTATATATATGGATGATTTGCTGATTAGTGGGTGGTGGTCCTTATGTATACGGAATTCTTAATTGGATAGTTGTAAATAGCCCATTTACTCCGAAATTTAGACAAAAATGGAATTGTAATCCTGGGATCTTGGGTGGAAACAGGTACACAGAGGTATGGAAAAAATTGCGGAAAATCGAACAATCATACAATATTTGCCTTATAGAATTCAACTGAATTTATTGATCATTACATATAATTCAATTAAGATATTGTATAAAAAATATAGCTCCATGAGCAAAAGCTCCTGTCATGACAGGCCTTTTTTTTCCAACAAATTCCCTTTATTTATAGAAGTGGCTCGGCTATTCCTCCTAGCCAAGCCAAAAAAAATGGATTTGAAGTTTCGATAGAAGGATTCCTCTACCAACGTAAGACAATCAACTCCATTCGTTATACGTATCGAAATAATCCTGCCACTAAGAGAAAAAGCGGACTCCGAAGCTACAGTACTAGCTTGGATTGCTAGTATATCACATGTCATGCATGTCAGAACCGGGAATTGAGGTTGCTTTTGTTTCCAAAAATTTAATAGATCAAGTTTTTCAAAATCTTCGACTCATTTACGAGGCATGCGACCATAAAGTTAGTATGCACATACATATTTAGTTCATCCAACTCCTTATCAAATCTATTCTTTTTACCTGATTCATTTAAAACCTTGTTCATTAAATTAGTCATCAACTCTTTCTGACTTTCGCGATGACCACGGGAAGAACTAGAACCCGCAAATCCACGACTTGAAGAGCTTTGTTGTTGATTTCCTCCCCCATAAAAATATTTACAATGATCAAATAAATCTTGAAAATTACGATTAAACAAACGTTTTTGTCCCATTGAAAAAGAATCATCCGTACCGTATCTGAACCAAACGTTTTTTTTGCGTTTTGTAAGTTGGTATGTAAATCCTTCAACCATGACACTTATATATAGTGTTTAGAAGACAAATACAAAAAAAGGGTCATAAACGGCTATATTTTTTTAAAAACCGGGCCGGTCCCTCGAAACACTCCAAAACAGCAACCGATCCCAGTCCTTTACCGGTTCCGGTACTCGGGCGGTCCCCGGCCGGACAGGGCCGGTTTGGTCATGACTACTGCCAATCCTGTCCTACATGAGAGAACTAAAGATGTAGAAATTGAGTGTGACTATGTGAAGGATCAACTCAAGGTTGGTACCACACCGAGCATGTATGAGCAAGTGTCTCATATTCTAACCAAGCTGCTCCCAGTACAACCTCATCTCAGTCACGTGCACAAGCTTCAACCTCTCTCTCCAGCTTGTTTCTTTCGTAAGTTTAAATTACAATAGCATATATAAAAAGCAACAGTTACATGTTAAATTACTCAAACATATAAACAAAATAGTTGACAGTTAGTTGGATAACATGATAAGATCACCTTATCTGCACAGCCACACCAATGGTTGATCATATAGGTTCATTCATCCATGGGATACAACAAACCAATATGATCTGAATTATTGGGACTTGCTAACTCTATCGAGTCCGTATATAGATCTAACGAGACGTTAGAGAGGTACGAGTGTTCGCCCTCACTCATTCGGGTCGAACTGTCTTCGTTGCCATGTTGATTAACCCAAGGCTGCTTCGTCAATCTCCTCAACCTCTCTAGTTCCATGCCCACTTCCTTCATTGTTGGTCTGTCGTAGCCGTTCATGTTGAGGCACCGCTTCACTAGCGAAGCTATTGCTTCTAGTTGTTCAAGTGAACCCTCTCTCACCACTCGACGGTCAAGCATTTCAAACAGTTTATTCATCCGCAAAGAAACAAGAAAATGAGCCGCTAAGTTTCTTTGCTCTTGACTCCGTTCCACGCAAAGTGGCTTCTTACCCGTTAGAAGCTCTAAAAGCACAACTCCGAAGCTATAAACATCGCTCTTATCGGTTAGTAGGCTTGTGTGAAAGTATTCAGGATCAAGATACCCTAATGTCCCTTGAACTAATGTACTCACATGTGTTTGGTTCAAGGGAATCAATCTTGAGGCCCCAAAGTCGGAAATTTTGGTGACCAAGTTCTCGTCTAATAATATGTTGGCGGATTTCACATCTCGATGGATGATGGGCTTTTGAGCTGCCGAGTGGAGGTAAGCGAGTGCACCAGCAGACTCGACAGCTATCCTTAAACGATTATCCAAAGATAACCAATCCATTCCACCATTGCTGTGGATATGATGGAAGAGGGTGCCATTCGAAACACATTCGTAGACGAGTAATGGGACTTCGCTCTCCAAGCAACAACCTAAGAGCTTCACAACGTTCCGGTGGTTAATTTGAGTAAGAATCACAACCTCATTGATAAACTGCTCGATTTGACTCTCGTCCATCACTCGCGCCTTCTTTATCGCAACAATGCTTCCATCACGTAAGATCCCTTTATATACCGTACCATAGCCACCACGACCAAGAATCCTATCTTTAGAGAAGTTCTTTGTCGCTTTTTTTAGCTCGTCAGTGGTGAAAATTTTGGTCGACTGATTGACACCGCCACCTTCGTTCGAATCAATTTGTTGTTTCAGCAACAACCCACCATTTTTCAAGAAGAACTTCTCCCTCAGTTTGATAACCTTTCTTCTCTGGTGGCTGAAATACAACCATCCCATTCCGATCAGTACAGTTAAAAATCCGACCCCCATTCCTGCAAACACACACACACACACACAATTCATTCTTCATGATTCGTTGAGAAGAAAACTCCATCTTGTAAAGTATTTATCCAAATGAATTTACTCACCAACGGACAACTTGAGGAACGGCGATCTCGAGTTCCGAACCGTACAACCATTCCCATCCTTTCTCCCATCTCCTTCATATCCATGAGGACACGAACAGTTGAAACTGCCAGGGAGATTAGAACAAATCCCATCGCAAGGATTGTTGTTAGGATCCGCACACTCATCGATATCTATGAATTCAAAACATAAGAGATGAATTACTCCATATTAGAACAGATGAAAAAGCGTTGCAAGTGTCACTAACCATTGCAACCAGGAGGAAGATAAGGATTCCCTTGATAGCCATTGTTGCAGGAGCACCTATAACCTCCATTACCCCCTTCAAAATCTACACAAATACTATTCTGTTGACAATAGTAATCACTTGTGTTCTTATATTCATTACAGCTCCTAGTCCCGATAACCCAATTGAGAACCACCGGAACAGTCTCCTCAGTACGGTTCACGAAATCGGGATCTGTGAAATCCGAAGCACCCTGGAACGTAAATGCCGTTTCCTCACCAAGGAAAGTGTACCCACATTTGTTGAAAGACCAAACGTCTGTGTGTCTTTTAAGTGTGAATGCTTGTGCTACATATGTTGTTAAGCCCATCGGCAAGCTCGTCGCGCAACACCCCATGCCTGAACCATCGAAGCTAATCAATTTGTGAATTATATATATATATATATATATATATGTATGTGTATGTATACACACACACACATATATATATACACCTTAAGTTACTAAGAGAGATCTATAAAATGATATGAAAACCTGAACATGAACCCACAGGAACATCTTCAACATTAGCGCATACACTCACGCATCCACTGCTGAAATTCTTGCCTTCGATCCCAGCCACCGGAGATATGAACGAGTAGTCATCGCACCCAACAGCTATCAGTTTGTTCAGTTCCGACAACGTGAAGTAGGAGCTCACCACCACTAGTCCGGTGGGTCTTTCATCAATTATCTCACCGATCTGACTGTAGCACTTGAAAGCGACTGTGTTCTTGACTCTCACGTGCTCATCGGAGATACCCACTATTTCTAGCCGCTGAATATTACTACTTCCGGTGTAAGAAAATAGATTTTCTGGTAAGAAAGCTTTGGGGGGATCGAAGGATGTGTTGCAGCTGATGTCGAACCATGGTCCGATGGAGCAACCTGAGTTGGATCCGATGCCGAACGGGTATGGTACGGTGAGGTTGCCGCATTTACTTGTGCAACCTGGAAGTGTGATGTTGTTAACGGTGGTTGCCGCCGGCGAGAATAGATGGAGGATTATGAAGATTAGAAGCAGCATGTTTTTGGTGTTGATATGATGATGATGAAATTGTAGGCGGTAGGCTCGTATTATATATAATTCAAAACCCCACCTCCAACCGAAAATAAGGTATTTATGTGAAATCTGAATGCCCTGAAATCTGAAAATTCGAAAACAACTTTTGAGGGAAAATTTGGGTTCGGGTTGGGTTTGATTTTTGACCCTCCGATCCGTCCGAAAACCCGAAATATATATATATATATATATATATATTCTAAATACTATATAAATATACTTATTTATCTAATTATCTTTTGAAAATTCTAAAAATCTTAGTTGATCATGTTTTCTTTTTCTAATTTCTAAGCATACTATCGATTTATCAATTCTTTAAATCGATTGGATATATATATTTTTTGCATTATAACTAAATCCGAACCCGACCGATCTCAACCCAAAACCCGACCAACCCGAATTTGAAGCAATTCAAAATCCGAAAGAGGGTTTTTAATTTTTCCACCCGAACCCGTCCTACCTGTCCGATGCACACCCCTAGTAAAAATATACAATAAATTGATTAAAATAACTATTATTATGGAAGGTTTGATTTTTTTAACCATTTCTCTCACAAAATAACCAAAATAACCATAAATTCTTATAAAGATGTCAAAGTGTACAAAAATAATGTTTTTGAACCAGGTTCACAATTGCAGGAACCAAATATATAAATTAGTTAATAGGTCCATAAAAATATGTCATATGCAGATGTCTTTTTCCAAATCTAGATACTTGGTTCCCGTAATTGTGGACCTGGTTCAAAAACTCTTTTTTCTTTATATTGACACTTCCATAAATCCGGACCTTTCAAATACAGACCTACAACTATTTTCGTTATTTTGAAAGAAAAATAGTTAAGAGGTGAAAACATGCGATCAAAATGACTATTTTAATTAATTTTCCAATGTAATGACTTTTATTTCTTAATTATTGTAATAAAAAAACATTTTAATTTTTCATGTCATATCGATTTTAACTGATAATTGACATATTGTATCCATCAATAAAATAGTTGTTAAAATGTCATGTTATATTGTAATTATTTTTTTGATTAACCTGGATATCCAACCTGCTATGCGAACCGACTAATCCAAGGACGACCACCTGCTTTGCAGATAGCCCGGATTTGAACCTGTAACCTGCTGGTACTATATTGTAATTATTAATTACATATAAAACTGGCGTATTAAAATCACTCATATCATTAAGGTCAAAACCCATTTATAATTTATTGAATAAAATTTTGGGGAACCAATATTTAAAATTATAATTCAAGGATTTGGAACAAAGTTTTTGAATTTTTTTAATCTTCACAATGTTTTGTTGTGAAGTTTCAGATGTAAAAATGTAGTGTTACGGGTCTCATGAAAATGGGTTGGTCTCATCTGAATCCAACCCAAAAGATCTAATGAATTTTAAAACAGTCCATTGAATTTTAGTTTTCAAATAAAAATGTTTTATATGTAATCTCATATTCATTTGTATAATATAATCTTTTTAAATTTATTTCTATAAATTTAAATATTACATGGAATTTTAGGGGTTGTTTACAAAATGCTTACTTAGTAAGTGCTTATTCGATAAATTTTCTCATCGGATTAAAATGATAAAGGCAATCTTACCGGGTAAGAGCGATGAGAAAGATGAAGAATCTTACCCAGTAAGTGAAGATAACGACTCTTACCCACGTAAGCGTTTACCCTGTAAATTGTTGCATTCGATACATTTTGATGTATTAAAATCTTACGCATCAAAATAAATTATAGTGCTGACTCCTATCAGTAAGCACTTACCGGATAAATATTTAGGTAAACAGCCCCTTAGTTAACAAAGTATTTGAGTCAAATCGTCATTAGCAGCTTAACAAGTTAATTAGACTCTTAAATAAAATAATAACTTTGCTCCATAATCTTAAATAATAATTTTAAAATTTTGTTTTCTAAAATAAAAATTATGAATTGTTTGTTTATCTCTTAATAATCTATACTATATTATAAAGCATTAGACAAAAAACTCTTAAAAACGATGTTTTATGCATGCAGTACTGTTTATTAATGTATATTACTTAAAATTTAATATTACAAGTAAATTGTGCATAAGTACAACTTATTAAAGCTTCATACTTGAATTCGTCTAACTAACTGCAGATAAACATAATCAAATATCGGATAAACATCTTATTTTAAATATAATAAATCTAAAATATAATTAGAATAATCATTGATAACTAACAGAATACTTAGTTATTGTCTTTATAAAAAATTATATTATTAAACCTAAATTAAATTTATTTGTTACTAAACCTAAATTAAATTTTTAATTAAAAATTTTAATTAAGGAAATTACACCAAAACACAAGAACTTTTAAAAAGATTAATTTAATACTGATATTGATATTTTTTTTCAAAGTTTTATGATATTTTTAAATTTATATTTTATTGCAAAATAAAAACATTATCACTTTCTCAAAACCTCATAAAACCAATGTTTACTTAAAATTCAAKATTACAAGTAAATTATGCAAAAGTACAACTTATTAAAGCTCGATGTTTGAATTCGTATAACTAATATAATTAGGATAATTATCGAGTTCTAACAAAATAATTAATTATTATCTTTATAAGAAAATTATATCATTAAAGCAAATATGAAGAAAAAAATATCGATATATTTTTGTTATGCATAAAATATTGTATAATGATGCATATTACTTAAAATTCAAGATTACAAGTAAATTATGCAAAATTTTAACTTATTAAAGCTCGATGTTTGAATTCGTATAAACTAACTACGTATAAACATAATTAAATAGAGGATAAACATCTCATTTTAAAATATAATTAGAATAATTATCGAATTCTAACAAAATAAATAATTATTATCTTTATAAGAAAATTATATTATTAAACCAAATATAAATTACTTTGTTATTGTATCTAAATTAAATTATAAAAAAATTAAATTAAAAAATAACACAAAAAATGAAGAATTTTAAATAGTTAATTTGATACTAATATCGATATATTTTTGTCAAATTTTTATCATATCTTCAAACTTATATTTTATTCAAAAATAAAAATATCATCACTTTCTCAAAATCACATAAGACCATATTATAACATCGACTGAAATAAAGAATAAAATAAAATATTAAAATCAAGATGTATATTGTTGCATTGTGCAAGTACCCTTATAGTTTTATTAAAAAGACAACATCTGAATTATTAAGAAATAGATCTTATTTAATAAAAAAAATCTAACTTTTAATAATTTTAAAACTCAATACAATATTATTTTCCGTTAAGAAAATGATGATAGAATTGTAGTTGATCACATATGGGTTTTATTCCCGATTAGTTTTAAAAGCCAAGTAGGCAAGTACCCATGTGAGGAGACTCAAGATTCGGTGGTTGATTTTATTCAATACCGTTGACTTCTAAAAATGGCATTATTTGTGTGAGTTTTTTCTGGCGTAGGAATTGGTCAAAGTCGCCCTTTGTTTTTATTTCTATTTATATTTATGATTCTTTTTTATTCTTACTTTGACTTTCTGGATTTTACAACGATTGGGTTGAAGAGTATCTTTAATTACTTTTTTTTTTATAATTTGTAAAATAGAGAATTAAAAGTTAAAATTTTTAAAATAAATTTGTAAATTGGGTTGAAGAGATGCATTTTATGGTAGAATTTGTAACAACCCCAAATCCATACATTGCATATAACACATATTTCATACATAGAATACATGTTTTCCCCACAAAGGT